ACAGTGACCCATAGACTCACACAGAGACCCATAGACTCACACAGAGACCCATAGACTCACACAGAGACCCATAGACTCGCACAGAGACCCATAGACTCACACAGAGACACATAGACTCACACAGAGACCCACAGACTCACTCGGAGACCCATAGACTCACACGGAGACCCATAGACTCGCACGGAGACCCATAGACTCACACGGAGACCCATAGACTCACACAGAGACCCATAGACTCGCACAGAGACCCATAGGCTCACTCGGAGACCCATAGACTCACACAGAGACCATAGACTCACACAGTGACCCATACACTCACACAGAGACCCATAGACTCACACAGAGACCATAGACTCACACAGTGACCCATAGACTCACACAGTGACCCATAGACTCACACAGTGACCCATAGACTCACACAGTGACCCATAGACTTACACAGAGACCCATAGACTCACACAGTGACCCATAGACTCACACAGTGACCCATAGACTCACACAGTGACCCATAGACTCACACAGTGACCCATAGACTCACACAGAGACCCATAGACTCACACAGAGACCCATAGACTCACACGGAGACCCATAGACTCACACGGAGACCCATAGACTCATGTCTCCCGCTGCCCACCACTCTCGCGTTCTGTCCGCGCCGTCTGTTTGTCTCCCCGTCTGTGTTGGAGTGGCCCACGTGGTGCTGATCACGAGGTGTGGATCGACTTCCACGTGTTTTGCACTCGATGAATATTTCCGAACGCCGATTGTGACGCGCCCCCCCCCACCCCCCACCCCCGATTGTGACGCACGAACGCCGATTGCTTTCCAATTAAAGCCTCGCAGACACTCGCTCCATGGCGTGTCGTGTGTGTGGTGTTGTGGTGGTGTGTGTGGTGTTGTTGTGGGGTGGGTGTGTGGTGTTGTGGTGGTGTGTGTGTGTGGTGTTGTGGTGGGGTGTGTGTGTGTGGTGTTGTTGTGGAGTATGTGTGTGTGAGGTGTGTGTGTGTGTGGTGGTGTGTGTGGTGTGTGTGGGGGGGTGTGTGTGGTGTGTGTGGGGGGGTGTGTGTGGGGTGTGTGTGTCGGGTGTGTGGGGGGTGTGTGTGGTGTATGTGTGGGGTGTGTGTGTGGGGTGTGTGTGTGGGGTGTGTGTGTGGGGTGTGTGTGTGTGTGGTGTGTGTGTGGGGTGTGTTGTGTGTGGGGTGTGTGTGTGGTGTGTGTGTGGGTGTGTGTGTGTGGGGTGTGTGTGGGGTGTGTGTGTGGGAGGTGTGTGTGTGTGGTGTGTGTGGGGTGTGTGTGGTGTGTGTGGGGTGTGTGTGGTGTGTGTGGTGTGTGTGTGGTGTGTGGGGTGTGTGTGTGTGTGCTGAGTGGTTTACTAAAGAAGCGTCGGTAAGAAACACACTAAACACACACACACCACACACATTGTACATACACACCACACACACCATACACTCCACATACGCGAATAGGCACACCAACAGCCGCCATTCGCCACCACGGCGCTCGTGCCAGGCTAGGTGCACTTTGAGGCCGTCACGTGACGTGTCGAAGGCTCGTGGCTGGCAGGAGGAGGTCCCGGGGCAGACCCCGCCGGTGACATCGGCTGTGGCAGCACCAACTGCGCCAACTGCGCCCCCTAGCGTGCCGACTCCTAACAGCACACACACACACCACACACACCACACGCCACACACACACACCACACACACCACACACACACACCACACACACACACCACACACACCACACACACACCACACACACCACACACCACACATACCACACACACCACACACACACCACACACACCACACACACACACCAAACACCACACACCACACACCCACACACACCACACACACACCACACACACACACCATTCACAAAGACAGCCAGGAGGGACAAGTTCTGTTAGCGAGCACCTATTAAGGCCGGCACAGCACACGTAGGGAGGTGTGTATGTCTGTGTGTGTATGGGTCTGTGTGTCTGTGTGTATGTCTGTGTGTGTATGGGTGTGTGTATGTCTGTGTATGTGTATGTCTGTGTGTGTGTGTATGGGTGTGTGTATGTATATGTGTGTGTATGGGTGTGTGTGTATGGGTGTGTGTATGTATGTATGTGTGTATGGGTGTGTATGGGTGTGTGTATGGGTGTGTGTCTGTGTGTGTATGGGGGTGTGTCTGTGCCGGGAAAGGTCCTGGCAAGGATTATTCAACATCGCCTTGCTAGGCACGCTGAGGAGAGGCTTGCGGAGCCCCAATGCGGTTTCAGGAAAGGGCGGTCCTGCACAGATGCCATATTTTCTGTCCGTCTGCTACAGCAGAGGTGTAGGGAATTCCAACAAGACCTACATCTCTGCTTTATTGACCTGGTCGAGGCCTATGATACCATCAGTAGGCCTGGGCTCTGGGTTGTTCTTCGTGCTTTCGGAGTCCCTGAACATCTGCTCACGATCATTAAGGACCTTCATGATGGTGAGCGGGCCCGGGTAAAACTACGTGGCCGGGAGTCAGAGCCATTCCCCGTACACCTTGGTGTGCGACAAGGATGTCCTCTGGCTCCCACATTATTTAACATCTATTTTGACCACGTAGTTCGTGAAGCCTTCAATAAATGTACCGGGGGAATTTCCATTTGGTACAGATATAATGGGAGGCTGATCGATGCCCGGGTGCGATCAAGGGATGGCTCCCTATTGGTCAACCACGTTATGTATGCCGATGATTTGGTAATAGCTGCTCATTCAGAGGAGGAGTTGGAGACGCTGCTGCTGAGACTGGAGCGTGCCACTAAGAGGTGGGGCCTTACCATCAGCCCCACCAAAACTAAGCACCTTCCTGGATATTTTGTACCATCGGACACTCCACCCCCACAACTCCCAATCGGTGATGGGGCAGTTGTGGAGAGAGTGGAGAGTTTCCCATACCTGGGCAGTGTGCTTATGACCGGCTCCAGTTTAATAGCAGAGGTTTCACTCCGAATCAGTCGAGCAGCAATATCTTTTCATCGGTTGCGTAACGCTGTGTGGAAGCTACCGGGTCTGTCGCTCCGCACGAAGGTTCAAGTCTTCTCGGCCACAGTCATTCAGTCATTCCCTCCCTTCTCTACGCTTGCGAAACGTGGACCCATCAGGCTGGATTGTGTGAGGAGCTCACAAATCCTTGAAAGATCTGGGCAAAGTCCCATCGGTGAGCTCCTCCGGCAGGCAAGGCTGCGTTGGCTGGGTCATGTAGCCCGCATGCCCAGCCACCGCATGCCTAAACAGCTTTTGTTCGGCCGGATCGAGGGGGCTAAACGGGCGCGGCAAGGGCTAGAGAAGAGATGGAGTGATGTGGTACAGGAGGACGTGGAGCTGAATGGACTTGCCAATGACTGGTACCAGCGGTGTCAAGATCGGCCTCTGTGGAGGAGGCTCGTGAAGGACGCTACTGGGCAGGTGGAGGCAGTCGCCCTCCAACAACAACGGAGGGCGGAGGAGCGACGCTCACAACAACAAGCGGAGCGCCGGGTGGCTAAAGCACAGCAAGTTGACACAGGTGGTGTATCAGCCAGTCATCTCGGTCATCTCAGTCAGTCGACCCGTGGCACCTGGGTCTGCCCCGTGATCTCCTGCCAGCGGGCGTTCGACACTTCACGTGGCCTCAAGGTGCACATGGCCTGGCACAAGCGTCGTGGTGACGTTACCGCCACTTATTGGCGAATGACGGTTGTTGTTGTTGTGTTGTATGGGTGTGTGTGTATGGGTGTGTATGGGTGCGTACGGGTGTGTGTGTGTATGGGTGTATGTCTGTGTTTGTGTATGGGTGTGTGTGTGTCTATGTTTGTGTGTATGGGTGTGTGTATGTATCGGTGTGTGTACGTCTATGTGTGTATGGGTGTGTGTATGCCTGTGTGTTTGTATGGCTGTGTGTGTGTATGGCTGTGTGTGTGTATGGCTGTGTGTGTATGGGTGTGTGTATGTATGGGCGTGTGTATGTCTGTGTGTGTGTATGGGTGTGTGTATGGGTGTGTGTATGTCTTTGTGTGTCTGTGTGTGTGTGTGTATGGCTGTGTGTGTATGAGTGTGTGTATGTCTGTGTGTGTATGGGTGTGTGTATGTCTGTGTGTGTGTGTATGTCTGTGTGTGTATGGGTGTGTGTATATCTGTGTGTGTGTGTATGTCTGTGTGTGTGTATGTCTGTGCGTGTGTATGGGTGTGTGTGTGTATGGGTGTGTGTGTATGTCTGTGTGTGTATGTCTGTGCGTGTGTATGGGTGTGTGTGTGTATGGGTGTGTGTATGTATGGGTGTGTATGGGTGTGTGTATGTCTGTGTGTGTGTGTATGTCTGTGTGTGTGTATGGGTGTGTGTATGTCTGTGTGTGTGTATGTCTGTGTGTGTGTGTGTCTGTGTGTGTGTATGTCTGTGTGTGTGTGTATGTATGGGTGTGTATGGGTGTGTGTATGTCTGTGTGTGTGTATGTCTGTGTGTGTGTATGGGTGTGTGTGTATGGATGTGTGTATGTCTGTGTCTGTCTGTGTGTGTGTATGTCTGTGTGTGTGTATGTCTGTGTGTGTGTATGGGTGTGTGTATGGATGTGTATGTGTATGTCTGTGTGTGTGTATGGGTGTGTGTATGTATATGTGTGTGTGTATGGATGTCGCGTGTTTGCTGGCCACCCACCCCTCGTGGGCCACAGTGCCGGCCTTCACAGGGTGCTGCCACTCGCTAACGGCACTTGCCCCTACAACCTGTTGAGGCTACACGGGGGATCTTTGTCTTTAGTGCGTATGAGTTGCGTTATATCTTCCCACAAGGGCAGGGGGTGGGGAGGGGGTGGGAAGTGGGTTGGTGGTTGATGGTTGGTGGGGGTGATGGGTGGAGTGGGTGGGGTGGGGGGTGGGTTGGTGGTTGGTGGGGGGGGGGTGGAGGGGTGGTGGGGGGGGGCTGTAGGGGAGCGGGGGGGGGCGAGGTGAGTAGTGGCTAACGGGGTCCGTGCCTCGCCCCTCCCCCCCCCACAGGATCGCCTGGACGGGACCCCCTTCGCGAGACAACAGCAGCAGAATCAGCAGCAACAGCAGATTCAGCAGCAGCAACAGAATCAGCAGCAGCAGCAGAATCAGCAGCAGCAGAATCAGCAGCAGCAGAATCAGCAGCAGCAGAATCAGCAGCAGAATCAGAAGGATCAGCAGCAGCAGAATCAACAACAGGTGGCAAATCAGCAGGCACCACAACAGCAGCAACAAGTCTCAAATCAGCAGCAGCAACAAGTCTCAAATCAGCAACAAGTCCCAAATCAGCAGCAAGTTCCAAATCAGCAGCAGCAACACGTTGCAAATCAGCAGCAAGTCCCAAATCAGCAGCAAGTTCCAAATCAGCAGCAGCAACACGTTGCAAATCAGCAGCAAGTTCCAAATCAGCAGCAAAAAGTTCCAACTCAGCAGCAAGTCCCAAATCAGCAACAAGTCCCAAATCAGCAACAAGTCCCAAATCAGCAGCAAGTTCCAAATCAGCAACAGCAGCAAGTTGCAAATGAGAATGAGCAGGAGGAAGAACCACGTGACCATCATCATCAGCATCAGCAGCAGCTACACGAGGAGGAAGCCACGACCCAGGATGAGCAGCAAGAGGATGAGGAACCACGTGACCACCCTCATCACCAGCAGCAGGCGGCGTTGCCCCTCGCCCCCGTCGGCCAGCGGCGCGGCGCGGCGGCGCTGGTGGAGCGGCAGCGGCGCGCGCTGCGGGCCCACGACACGGGCCGCTGGATCGAGACGGAGGCGGCCGCTGTCGCTCCCAAGGACCCCAAACTGTCGCGGAGCGTCGGCGAGCTGCGATCCCCCACGGAGGTAGCCGTCCCGACCCCCCTGGGCCCAGCGAGGCCGCAGCAGCAGCAGCAGCAGCAGCAGCAGCACGATGAGGCCACCGCCGCCGTCGCCTCCGCCGCCGCCGCGAGGCCCCACCACACGGAGACTCGCTCGCACTTCGCGCCGCGTCGCGCCACCCGGCGCGGGCTCGCGGCGAACCTCGCGGGGTCCCACGGGGACGCGGCGAGCTGGGGGAGCCCGCGGCTGCAGGCGGCGCGCAGCGAGGGGACGCTGTGCGAGTCGGACGAGGAGTTCGTGCGGAGCGGCGGCGGCCTCCCCGGCGCTCCGCACGAGAGGCCCGGCGCCTTCCCGCGCCGCCAGTCAGCGGCGGACCTCTACCACGAGGGCCTCGTCAAGTCGCGGCGCCGGCGCGCCTCCACGCTGCTCACCAAGGTGCTCTCCGACCCCAACCTCCTGGACGGACGCGGCGGGACCTCTTCCTCCTCTCGCCTCGCCCTCGACCGGGAGGGCGGCAGCGTCCGCGAGGGCCCCGCCGCACGGCGCCACCCGGACGCGGCGGCCGGGAGAGCGGCGCCTCCCTCGGCCGCGTGGGGCCGGGGCGGCCGCGGGAGACCAGAGGCGGAGGTGGAGGCCTCTTCGCGGTGGAGCCGCCGCGAAGAGGAGGCGGAGGGGGCGCGTGCGGCGAGCTCCGCGGTGCTCACGGCCGGCATGGTGCACCAGGCCATCAGGCGCACCAAGCAGCGCTACGAGAGGGCCTCGCTGGAGCGTCGCGGCGCCGTGGGGCCCGAGCGGGAAGGCGGCGGGGCGGAGGCCGCGAGGGTCCCGAGTCTCGCCCTCGGCGCCGTCAACTTCAGCACCGTGGACAGCGGCCGCAGTTTCAGCACCGCGGACAGCCCCAGGACGGACAGGACGGACAGGACGGACAGGACATGGACATTGAGCACCATGGGCAGCTCCAGGACGGACAGGACAGGAACTCTGAGCATCGTGGATAGCCCCAGGACGGACAGGACATGGGCTCTGAGCACCATGGGCAGCTCCAGGACGGACAGGACAGGGACTTTGAGCATCGCGGACAGCACCAGGACGGACGGCGCCGGGCCCCGCAGCGTCCTGGACGCCGCCTCGACTCGGGCCGCGGCGCCCCGGGGCCCGAGAGAGCGGCTCGCGGCGAGGGCCGCGCGCGGGGAGAGCGAGGAGGGGGACGATGGCGACTCGGGGCGACGGCGGCGGCGACGAGGAGGAGGAGTAGCAGTAGAAGACGAAGCAGCAGCAGCAGGGGAAGCCGGCGAGCGCGTCTGGGAAGTCGGCAGGAGGAGGCGTCGGTGCCAGATGACGGAGCCGCCCGCCGACTCGACGGGCGGCAGCGGGGAGGAGAGCGCGGGGGGCTGCGGCCACGAGAGGCGGGGCTCGCGGGGCACCGTGAGGAGCATCGCCACGATGTTCGAGGGCCTCGCGCGGCCTGCACGTCGCGCGCGGCCGCTGTCGTCGGCGCCCAGCGACGACACCGACTCGGGAGGCCGCGACGGGAGCGTCCGCGAAGGGGGTGCCCGGGACGGGGGTCCCCGGTAGAGCCGAACACCCCCACACCCCACACCCCCCACACCCCACGCCCAGCGGGTGGAGGCGTCGGGAAGGGGTGCGCGTGGCTGTGTGCGGGGGTGTTTATGAGTGGGTGGGTGTGTGGGTGGGTGGGTATGTGGGTGAGTGAGCGGGCGAGTAGGTGAGCATGTTGGGTGAGCGTGTGGGTGAGTGGGTGGGCGTGTGGGTGAGTGGGTGGGCGTGTGGGTGTGTGGGTGGGTGTGTGGGTGAGTGGGTTTGTGGGTGGGTGTGTGGGTGAGTGGGTGTGTGGGTGGGCGTGTGGGTGAGTGGGTGGATGTGTGGGTGAGTGGGTGGGCGTGTGGGTGTGTGGGTGGGCGTGTGGGTGAGTGGGTGTGTGGGTGGGTGTGTGGGTGAGTGGGTGTGTGGGTGGGCGTGTGGGTGAGCGTGTGGGTGAGCGTGTGGGTGAGCGTGTGGGTGAGTGGGTGGGTGTGTGGGTGGATGGGTGGGTGTGTGGATGAGTGGGTGTGTACGTGTGTGGGTGAGTAGGTGGGTGGGTGAGTAGGTGGGTGGGTGGATGGGCCAGTGTGTGAGTGAGTGGGTGGGCAAGTGTGTGAGTGGGTGGGTGGGTGGGTGAGTGGGTGGGTGTGTGGGTGAGTGGGTGTGTGTGTGGGCGATTGTGTGAGTGGGTGGGTGTGTGGGTAGGTGTGTGTGTGGGTGGGTGGGTGTGTGGGTGGGTGTCAGGGTGAGTGGGTGGGTGGATGGCGAGTGTGTGAGTGGGTGGGGGAGTGGGTGGGTGTGTGTGGGTGGATGGGCGAGTTTGTCAGTGGGCGAGTTTGTGATTGACTGGGTAAGTGGGGGTGTGGGTGGATGGGCGAGTTTGTGATTGATTGGGTAAGTGGGTGTGTGGGTGGATGGGGTAGTGTGTGAGTTTGGGAGCGAGTGGGTGAATGGGTGTAAGCGCGAGCGTAAATGTGTGTTCGTGCGTGAATGTGAGTGTGTAAGGTACGTGTGTGTGTCTGTAAATGTGGGAATCTGTGTGTACGTGGGGAGCGGTGGCACAATGGTTAGGGCGAGGAACCCGGCGACCTGAGTTCGATTCCCGCTGCACAGCCAACATCGGTGACGAAAATCGGATCCGGTCCTGGGTCTCCACCACGCTGATTCGTGAGCCCTGCACAGGCGAACGTGGACCCGACGTGGTGCTGACCACCCACCCACCCCCTCGTGCGCCGTGCCGGCCTTGATCGGCGCTCGCTAACACCACTCGCCCCATCATTCCGTTACAAGGCCACACGGGGGGGGGGGGGGGTGGGGACACGTTTGGCTTTGTGTGTGCGCCAGTGCGCGAAGCGGCGGTTCCCGCACTCGCAATTCAGTGCAATATGAAGCTGGTCTGGGCCTCCCGTAGATCAACTCAGCCGAAAATGATTTTCTGTTACGGTGTGAAGCATCGGCACTGGGGAGACAAAGGCGGCCGAGACGTGGTGTCGAACACACCACCCGAGAATGAGCCGTGCTCGTCTTAAAGGGTGCTCTCTAAACGGCACTTTCCCCTACACATCCGAGTGGCTACACGTGGGATATTTTATCTTTGTACATTCCGTGAAGGTGTCTCCTCGCGGTGATTGGCGCGTGAAGCCCGAGACGAGTCCGGGCTGGGTTGGGGCCAGGGTGAGGGTTGGGCCTGGAGCCATGGGGAGAGGTCAGGGTTTTGGGTCGGGGTTAGGGTTGTGGTCAAGGGTCAGAGTTGGGTCTCGAACCAGGGTTGGGGTCAGGGTTGTGGTCAAGGGTCATGGTTAGGTCTCGAACCAAGGTTGAGGTCAGAGTTGGGGTGGGGGCCGAGGTCAGAGTTGGGTCTAGAACCAGGGTTGGGGTCAGAGTTGAGGTCAGGGTTGTGATCAAGGGTCATGGTTAGGTCTCGAACCAAGATTGAGGTCAGAGTTGGGGTCAGGGTTGTGGCCGGGGTCAGGTTTGGGGCTGGAGGTTGCAGTGTTACGTCCTGTGGCTCGAGGGTTATTGACAGGCTTGGTTCGGTTGGAGCGGTGGTGCAGTGGTTACCGCACTCAACGCGTTTATATTCGTTCCATTAAAGTGGCCAATCCCGCTTCTTCATACCACGTGAAGAAGGGTGATCGTCCGAAACGTCTCCTGTTATATGTGTCCACTAATGTCACGCGCGCCCGGCGTTGTTGACGAGCGTGCGGGGAGTCGGATTGTGTTCGTCTCAACGCGAGAGAGGATTTGGAACTCGACTGATTTGGTTTGACTCGACCAAGAACAAGTATAACCCGTAAAAACAAAGTTTTTCACTCTAAATCCTTTATATGCGTGGCGGCTAGAGTCCTCTCGTCCTCTGGCTTGAGATGGCTGCCACCTATGGGTCAGATGATTGTCTGGCCAGTATTAAACAATTGGTAATTAAATATTTAATTTGTTTTCCCTAAACAGTGTAAAATTTTGGGAAAAAATTTTCACGAACATGAATTGTCTCGCACAACGAGTCTGTGTGCAAAATGTCAGCTCGATTGGATCACGGTAAGTGGGTTAAAAAACGACCGAAAGATTTGCACGGTCGTAAGCAAGCAAGCAAGCACGCAAGCACGCAAGCAAGCGAACTTAATATAAAGGATTTAAAAATGACAGCTCTCCGCAGAAGGTCCCAATCACGGGTGGAACGGAACGGAACGTCGGACATCGTGCCAACAACTCCCGGACGGCGCCCGGCAGAGCTGAGAGGCACCTCGAAATATCGCAGCCACCGAGTGACTCACAGAGTACATACATCGTTTTATTCTTTCTTCACATAAATCCCATCGGTTCAATTGGAGCAAAACTCTGGAAGTGGTTTAACCATTCAGTAAGCATCATAATGTAAGTGTATAAAATACTGTATCATCAGCACCTCTCACTCGACGATGTTGATCGTGATGTTGTGACCCCACCTCTACAGACATTCCAATGTAAGATGCACTTAGCCTGGCACCGCCATCACCACCACCATCACAACCAACATCACCATCAACAACCCCCGTTCGTCACCACAGCGCCTGTGCCAGGCTAGGTGCACTGAGGCCAACACGTGAAGTGTCGAAGGCTAGTGGCTAGCAGGAGGTCACGGGACAGACCCAGGTGTTATGGGTTTATTGACGTGCCAGGCTAGGTGCGTGAGGTCACGGGACAGACTCAGGTGCCATGGGTTGGCTGCCCGAGATGGCGGGCAAGATGCACCACCTGTGCTCCACATTGTGCCAACTCACAAAGATAAGGATCCCCCGTATAGCCTTTAACGTGGAGGGGGCAAGTAGCATCTACCATGAAAGCCGGATTGAGGGGGTGGGTGGCCAGCACCACACCCGGCCGCCTTTGTCTCCCCCAGTGCCCACAACACACACGGACACGCCCACTGGCACGCTCGCACACAAAACGAGACGCGGCGGCAGGGAGGGGTTTTGATGGGGGCCGCTCACGGAGCGTGCGAGCGAGTCCCGGGGACGGACGAGGTGGGAGAGAGGGAGGGGTCATCACCGCCATACACGCGACCACGGGGAGAGAGAGACGCAGCAGCAGCAGCAGGCGTCAGGGTCGGGATCGAACTCACGACCTCCTGCATACCAGGTGAGGTAGTCAACATCTCGCCACTGCAGAGTGGGATATCCGCTCGTCTTGATTGCTTGCGGTACAAATACAAAATAAACTCTGCAAATCAACAACAACCCTGAAACGATAACGAACGCCCCTTACTGCACGCGCGTCACACGCGGCACCGCGCGCAAACTCGCCCCAAACTGCAACTTCTGACGTCTGTGAAAAAGCGCTTCGTAGCTTATCGGATTTCTCCAGGATGAATAAAAGATGCGGATTCTGAGCGTGACCCCGCGAGAGCACGGGGGGAGGGCGGGCTCAGGGCAGAGGTTCGTAGCGCGGCGTAGCGCTAACCACAGCGCCACCGCTCTCCACCAACACACACAACAACGACAGCAGCAGCGGCAGCCGCCACTAAGTCACCACGGCGCATGTGCCAGGCTGGGTGCACTTTGAGACCGTCACGTGAAGTGTCCAAGGCTCGCTGCTGGCAGGAGGTCGCGGTACAGACCCAGCAGGTGCCATGACCGACTGAGATGACCCACACAAAGACAAAGATCCCCCCTGTAGCCTTCAAAAGACCGTTGGGGCAAGTGCTGTTAGTGAGAATCGATGAAGACTGGCACGACCCACGAGGGGGTGGGTAGTCAGCACCATGCCCGGCCGCCTTTGTCTCCCCAGTGGTGATGTTTACTACACACCGCACCAGGTACATATTTGAGGCTGAGTCGACCGAGGAGAGGTCCAGGACCGGTTGAGATATTCGCTACTGTTACTGGCCCTGAGCGGGAATCGAACCCAGGTGGGCAGGGTTCGTAGCGCAGCGCGCTAACCGCTTCGCCACCACTCCACACGCTCAATCAATCACACACAGTCAATCACACACACAGTCAACCACACACACACTCACTAACACTCACTAACACACACTCGCGCACACACACACACACTCTCACACTCAGCGTGTGCAGTGTAGTTAACCGCCACACTACTCTCACACACAGTCACACACACGCTCACAGTCACGCACACGCTCACACACACGTTCACGCTCACACGCACGCTCACACGCACGCTCACATGCTCACACACACGCTCATGCTCACACACACTCACACACACGCTCACACACAGGCACACGCACACTCACGCTCACACGCACGCTCACACACACGCTCACACACACTCACATTCACACACTCACACTCACACACACGCTCACGCGCTCAGACACAAGCTCATGCTCACACACACACTCACGCTCACACACACGCTCACACACACGCTCACACACACGCTCACGCGCTCAGACACACGCTCATGCTCACACACACACTCACGCTCACACACACGCCCACACACACTCACATTCACACACTCACACACACACTCACACACACGCTCACACACACGCTCACGCGCTCAGACACACGCTCATGCTCACACACACACACACGCTCACACACGCTCACACACACACTCACGCTCCCACGCACGCTCACACACACACTCACGCTCCCACGCACGCTCACACACAGGCACACGCACACTCAAGCTCCCACGCACGCTCACACACACGCTCACGCTCCCACGCACGCTCACACACACGCTCACGCTCCCACGCACGCTCACACACACGCTCCCACGCACGCTCACACACAGGCACACGCACACTCAAGCTCCCACGCACGCTCACACACACACTCACGCTCCCACGCACGCTCACACACACGCTCACACACACGCTCACACACACGCTCACACACACGCTCACACACAGGCACACGCACACACACGCTCACACACACGCTCACACACACGCTCACACACAGACACACGCACACTCAAGCTCCCACGCACGCTCACACACACACTCACACACACGCTCACACACACGCTCACACACACGCTCACACACACGCTCACACACACTCAAGCTCCCACGCACGCTCACACACACGCTCACACACACGCTCACACACAGGCACACGCACACTCAAGCTCCCACGCACGCTCACACACACGCTCACACACACGCTCACACACACGCTCACACACACGCACACGCACACTCAAGCTCCCACGCACGCTCACACACACGCTCACACACACGCTCACACACACGCTCACACACACGCTCACACACACTCACATTCACACACTCACACACACACTCACACACACGCTCACACACACGCTCACGCGCTCAGACACACGCTCACACACACGCTCACACTCACGCTCACACACAGGCACACGCACACTCAAGCTCCCACGCACGCTCACACACACGCTCACACACAGGCACACGCACACTCACGCTCCCACGCACGCTCACACACACGCTCACACACAGGCACACGCACACTCACACTCACACGCACACTCACGCTCCCACGCACGCTCACACACACGCTCACACACAGGCACACGCACACTCACACTCACACGCACACTCACGCTCCCACGCACGCTCACACACACGCTCACACACAGGCACACGCACACTCACACTCACACGCACACTCACGCTCCCACGCACGGCGACCTGAATATACGACGACGCATCCCGAACTTGTGCTTAAAAACACGGTGGGGGGAGGGGGGCTACGGAGAATTGGGTCAAATAATAATTTGCACAACAACAACAACTACTACTAGCCCTGGAGTGCAAAACACAAACCCCGGGGGGTCACCCCCGGTGGTACCCCCGTGGCGCCCGGCGCCTTGCTCCTAGAGGTTGCAGGCGCGGCCCTGCAAGTGCCCGCCCGCCGCACTGCTGGCGGGCGGAAGGGCGGGAGGCAGCGAGAGCCCTCCGGAGAGAGAGGCCGCGCGGCGTACTGGCCGACCCGCGACATCCGTGCCAAAGAGCTTCGTAGCTCGTCAGATTCTTCCAGTCGGAATAAACATTCCGACTCTTCCACGCCGGCTCGGTCTTCTCGGAATAAGGGGGTGGAGGTGGGGGGGGGTACCCGCACTTAACCCCACCGCCACCACCACAAGCGGCTAACCCGCGCCGGTCAAGCCCAGGGTCATGACCTCACGCTGCCGCCCTCCCCGAGGGGGTCACGACCCCTCGCCGCCTTCCGCCGGCTCCGCGGCGGCGATCCCTCGCCGCGGCCCCTCCCCTCCTCCCCCCCCGATCCCCCCGCCACCCCCCCTCCTCCTCCCCCCCCTCCCCCCGTCCGGAGGGGCGCGGTGTCGGGCGCGGCGTCGATGAGGTGCCGCGGGTAGAGGAGGTCGAGCAGGAAGAGGAGCACCACGTCCAGCAGCGCCATGAAGCCGAACACGAGGCCCGCGAAGGGTCCGCACTGCTCCAGCAGCCGCTCCACACGCTCGCCCAGGGGCAGCGCCGCGTCACGCGCCGCGTCGTCGTACACCTGGCGGGGGGCGGCGGGGGGCGGGGGGGGGCGGGGGGAAGGGCGAGGGGGAGATGCAGGGAGATGCGGGGGGAGACGCGGGAGGAGATGCGCGGGGAGGCGCAGCACGGTGCGCTGTTTGCATCAATGCCACCGAAAGACAAATATCCCCCCCCCCCGTGTGGCCTGTAACAGGCTGTTGGGGCGAGTCCTGTTAGCGAGCGGCAGCGCCTACGAAGGCCGGCACTGTGGCGCACGAGGGGGCGGGTGGCCGGCACCACGCCCGGCCGCCTTTTTGTCCCCTCGCCAGGTGTTCATTTGAAGCTGAGTCGACCTAGGGGAGGCCCCATTACCGGTTCAGACAATCGTCACCGGTGTTGACCGTGAGCGGGAATCGAACTCGGGTCGCCGGGTTCGTAGCGCAGCGTAGCGCCAACCTGCTCCACCACCGCTCCACCACATCAACACCACCACCACCACCTCCACCACCGCTCCACCGCATCAACACCACCACCACCTCCACCACCGTCGCCGCCACCTCCACCACCGCTCCACCGCATCAACACCACCACCTCCACCACCGCTCCACCGCATCAACACCACCATCTCCACCACCGTCGCCGCCACCTCCACCACCGCTCCACCGCATCAACACCACCACTTCCACCACCGCTCCACCGCATCAACACCACCACCTCCACCACCGTCACCACCACCTCCACCACCTCCACCACCACCTCCACCACCACCACCTCCACCACCTTCACCACCTTCACCACCTCCACCACCTTCACCACCCCACCACCTCCACCACCACCTCCACCATCACCACCACCACCACCTCCACCACCACCTCCTCCACCACCACCACCGCCTCCACCGCCTCCACCGCCTCCACCACCACCACCACCACCACCTCCACCACCATCTCCACCACTTCCACCACCTCCACCACCACCTCCACCACCGTCATCGTCTCCGCCCCACCTTCTCGGTGCGGCGTGCCACGTCGCGCCAGTTGTAGAGGCGCGCCACGCGCTCGTGCGTGGTGGCCGGGTGCGGCACGGCGCCGCGACGCACCCGCTCCACCGCCTGCTCCACGCCCAGCGCCAGCGCCCGCACGCTCGGCTCGCAGAGCACCATCAGGTCCTCCGGCATCACCTCCGGCACCCCCCCGACACGCGTACTCACCACCTGGGCACAGGGGGGGGGGGGGGGGGGGGCGGCACCGGTTCACGTGGGGTCCTACGGACAGGGGCGGCACCGGGGACCCTGGGACGAGGTCCCGACGACCCGAAACTCGGGTTTGTCCGAGGTTCAGTTAGTTCGAGGGTGAGAGTTGAGTTTAGTGAGCGTGAGCAGTGAGAGTGTGCGGGTGTGAGTGCGAGCAAGGGTGTGAGTGTGCGGGTGTGTGTGCGAGCGAGGGTGTGAGTGCGAGCAAGGGTGTGAGGTGAGTGTGCGGGTGAGTGTGCGGGTGAGCGGCGAGTACGAATATTTCTGAGCGATCGAGCGCAAGTGCGAGTGTTTGTTTGGCGAGCGCCAGCAGCGAGCACCAGCAGCGAGCGCTAGCAGCGAGCTTCAGCAGCGAGCGCTAGCAGCGAGCGCCACCAGCGAGCGCCAGCAGCGAGCACCAGCAGCGAGCGCTAGCAGCGAGCTTCAGCAGCGAGCGCAAGGAGCGAGCGCCAGCAGCGAGCGCCAGCAGCGAGCGCAAGGAGCAAGCGCCAGCAGCGAGCACCAGCAGCGAGCGCCAGCAGCGAGCGCCAGCAGCGAGCTCCAGCAGCGAGCGCCAGCAGCGAGCGCCAGCAGCGAGCGCCAGCAGCGAGCTCCAGCAGCGAGCGCCAGCAGCGAGCGCCAGCAGCGAGCACCAGCAGCGAGCACCAGCAGCGAGCTCCAGCAGCGAGCGCAAGGAGCGAGCACCAGCAGCGAGCACCAGCAGCGAGCACCAGCAGCGAGCGCCAGCAGCGAGCTCCAGCAGCGAGCGCTAGAAGCGAGCGCAAGGAGCAAGCTCCAGCAGCGAGCACCAGCAGCAAGCTCCAGCAGCGAGCACCAGCAGCGAGCGCTAGCAGCGAGCTCCAGCAGCGAGCGCAAGGAGCAAGCTCCAGCAGCGAGCTCCAGCAGCGAGCACCAGCAGCGAGCTCCAGCAGCGAGCGCCAGCAGCGAGCGCCAGCAGCGAGCGGTGAGCAGCGAGCGCCAGCAGCGAGTGGTGAGCGAGCGCCAGCGGCAAGCAGCCTGCCCCACCTGCAGGCCGCAGCTGGCGGCCTCCACGATGGCCATGCAGAAGGCCTCCGTGAGCGAGGGGTTCAGGAAGATGTCTCCCTGCACCATGACGTCACGCACCTGCCCGTGCTTCAGCGCACCCAGCAGCTGCACCCTGCAGCACCACGGGGGGGCGGGGGGGCAGGGGGGGGGGAGGGGGACGCGTGACAAAGAGCTTTAGAGCTCGTCGGATTCCTCCAGTAGAAACGAAGATGCAGATTCTGAAGTGCAACTCTTGTATCTCTTAGAAAACCAAACGAGACTATTTTTAAAAACCATTCAATTACTTTTTGCCTGCCAGGGTAAGGCCCACAGAGCGATGTAGCTCAGTGGCTGCACGTGTATGGGTGGGGAGCAGCAGGAATTACAAGATTTTAACTCTGGGGAGCGGTAGTGTAGTGGTTAGTGCGCTGTCTGTGTGTCTGTGTGTGTGTGTGGGGGGAGCGGTAGTGTAGTGGTTAGCGCGCTGTCTGTGTGTCCGTGTGTGTGTGGGGGGAGCGGTAGTGCAGTGGTTAGCGCTACACCGCGCTACGAACCGGGCGGCCCGAGTTCGATTCCCACTCACGGACACCACCGGTGACGATTATTTGAACCGGTGCTGCTGCTACCCGCTAACAACAGTGCTTGCCCCAACAGTTCGTTAAGGCTGTTGGGGCAAGCACAAAGACAAAGGCGGGGCTTTGTCTTTGTGTTTGCGTGAGCCGGTTGCCTGTCGTGGAGGCGGTAGTGCTCCCGCAGCTCCTCCAGCACGAGCCGCTTGGGGCCCTCTCCGCCCACCAGGAAGTGCAGGTCCGGGTGGCGCGCCGTCAACTCCGGGATGATGCCGGCCAGCAGGTCGATGCCTGCGGCACAACAGGCGGCACAACAGGCGGCACACGCGGTGTCCCCGCGTGGCCTTACACGGACCGCCGCCGGGACGAGCGCCGCTCACGGGCCGGCGCCACGAACGCCCAGCCGCCTTTGTTTCCCCGAGTGGCGACGTTTCGACGTTTACTACACACCACACCGGGTGCTCGTTTGAGGCCGAGTCGACCTAGGGGAGGTCCAGGACCGGTTCAGATTACTGTCACCGGTGTTGGCCGTGAGCGGGAATCCAACCTGGGTCGCCGGGTTCGTAGCGCAGCGCGCTAACCGCTGCACTACCGCTCCCTGCACAAAGACAAAGGTCCCCCGTGTAGCCTTTAACAGACTGCGGGGGCAAGTGCTGTTAGTGAGCGGGGTAGCGTGGTCAGCAGTGCCACGCCCGGCCGCCTTTGTCTCCCCCGGTTCTGCACCAGGTACTACTTTTTAAGGTTGAGTGGACCTACGGGAGGCCCAGAACTGGTCCATATATTTGCCACGTGTACAATACAAAAAAATACAAAAACACAACTCATCAGCGGCAGCAGCGGCAGCAGCAGGACCCTTCGCAAAGAATTCCCAGGACTCGGGCGTGGACCTCTCGGATAAACAAACCAATCGAATCAACGTCATCGATTTTTTAAATCCTTTATATTAAGTTCGCTTGCTTGCTTGCTTACGACCGTGCAAATCTTTCGGTCGTTTTTTAACCCACTTCCCGTGATCCAATCGAGCTGACATTTTGCACACAGACTCGTTGTGCGTGACAATTAATGTTCGTGAAATTTTTTTTCCAAAATTTTACACTGTTTAGGGAAAACAAATTAAATATTTAATTACCAATTGTTTAATACTGGCAGACAATCATCTGACCCATAGGTGGCAGCCATCTCAAGCCAGAGGACGAGAGGACTCTAGCCGCCACGCATATAAAGGATTTAGAGTGAAACACTTTGTTTTTACGGGTTTACTTGTTCTTCATTCACCTCCCAACCCTCCGAACGTTCCTTTTCCTTCCGGCCAAATCCCTCCCCGCAACTCTCCCCGCACCCCCCACTCACCTTTGCGGTAAACCAACCGGCTGACCACCACCACGGTGATGCGTCCGGGCCTGCGGCTGCCCACGGTGTCCGGCTCCCCGTCGGCCGCCCCCCTGGGCCACTCGGGCGGCCGGAACCTCGTAGTGTCGACGGCGTTGGGCACCACGGAGACGCGGCGGGGCGCCAGTCCCGCCCGCAGCGCCGTGTTCTCGCGGCCCGTGTGCGACACGCAGACGGCGCGCGTCACGTCGCACAGCGACACGCACAGCAGCTTGTTGGTGAGCACCGAGCTGGCGTCGGCGAAGCCGAACAGCGAGTGGTCCGTGAAGACGGTGCGGATGCCCATGGCCTTGGCGTGGAAGAGTGCGTCGTGCGCCAGGCACGAGAAGGCCGAGTGAGCGTGCACCAGCGTGACGCGCTCGCGCACGAACACGCAGCGCAGCAGCGGCAGGCTCAGGTAGATGGCGGGAGGGGTGGCCTCGTTGTAGAACGGACGCAAGGGCAGGTAGTACACCTGTGGGTGTAGGTGGGGGAGGCAGATGACACGCGGGGGAGGGACGCGGGGGGAGCGATTAACGGGGAGGTGACACGCGGGGGAGGTACGTGGGGGAGGTACGTGGGGGAGGTACGTGGGGGAGACACGCGGGGAAGATACTTGGGGGGAGATGCGTGGAGATACGTGGGGGAGGTACACGGGGGAGGTGACACGTGGGAGCGTGGAGAAGGAGCTGTCACCGCGCCCACCGCGAGGCGGTGACCCCCACGCGGCGGTGACCCCCACGCGGCGGTGACCCCCACGGTGACCCCCACGAGGCGGTGACCCCCACGCGGCGGTGACCCCCACGCGGCGGTGACCCCCACGCGGCGGTGACCCCCACGAGGCGGTGACCCCCACGGTGACCCCCACGAGGCGGTGACCCTCATGGTGACCCCCACGAGGCGGTGACCCCCACGGTGACCCCCACGCGGCCTCCTCAGACTCGCGGCGCACCACACAGCTGACAAAGAGAGCGACTCAGATGGCCGTGAGCACGCGGCCGTCTGGAACGTTCTTCCCTCTCGAGATTAGCAAGCCACTGGAGCTGCGCACTTTAAAATATCATCATCATCATCTACGATTGACAAAACTAATTTCTCTAGAACTGCTTGTCGTTGTGTTTAGTTTGTTGACCTTCCAAACCCCCCATGCGCCTCCGATTAGCGACGCACGTTCGTGCGCACGCACAAGGTGCCGAGGCACGAGCGACGGCGATGGGGGAGGGCAACTTTGAGACCACGAAAGGGGCTACGGGGGAGGGACGGGAAATCGGCGGAGGGGCCGGCGCGAGGGGAGAGCCAACGGAGGGGCCAGGCGGGCCGGCCGGGAACCGGCGACGTGGCGGTCCACCACCTTGAGTCCGCCGGTGAGCAGGCGCACGCCGGTGCGGTCCCCGTAGGCGTGCGTGACCACGGTGACGCCGTGGCCCCGCTGCAGGAGGCACTGCGCCAGCTGGTAGACGTGGGTTTCCACGCCGCCCATGTTGGGGTAGAAGAAGTCGGAGACCATGCACACGCGGTGGCGCACGCCCCCGTCACCCGGCGGGGACTCCTGCTCCTCCTGCTGCCGCCGCCGCTGCTGCTGCTGCTGCTCCGTCTCCGACGGATGAGTCCCTCGCTCCATCTCCTCTGGCTCCTTCCCTCGCTCCATCTCCGCCGGATCCATCCCTCGCTCCATCTCCACCGGCTCCGTCCCTCCCTCCATCTCCACCGGCTCCGTCCCTCCCTCCATCTCCGACGGATGAGTCCCTCGCTCCATCTCCGCCGGATCCGTCCCTCGCTCCATCTCCACCGGATCCGTCCCTTGCTCCATCTCCACCGGATCCGTCCCTCGCTCCATCTCCACCGGATCCGTCCCTCGCTCCATCTCCACCGGATCCGTCCCTCGCTCCATCTCCACCGGATCCGTCCCTCGCTCCATCTCCGCCGGATCCACTGTCACACTGTCAGTCACACAGTCACACTGTCACACTGTACACTGTCCGTCACACCGTACACTGTACACTGTCCGTCGCACTGTACACTGTACACTGTCAGTCACACTGTACACCATCACACTGTACACTGTCACACTGTCAGTCACACTGTACACTGTACACCGTCACACTGTACACCGTCACACTGTCACCCTGCCAATGTACTGGGGGAGCTGCAGTGTCGTGGTTCGCGCCACGCAGCGCGCGCTACGAACCCGGCGACCCGAGTTCGCTTCCCGCCGACGGCCACCACCACCCGTGACGATTGTCTGAACCGATCCTGGGCCTCCCCTAGGTCGACTCGGCCTCAAATTAGTACCTGGTGCAGTGAGCAGTAAACATCGCCACTGGGGAGACAAAGGCGGCCGGGCGTGGTGCGGCCCACCCACGTGTCGCTTGCTCGCGAACAGCACTCACCACTCACCAGCACCACTCACCCCTCACCACCCCTCACCACTCACCCCTCACCACCCCTCACCACTCACCACTCACCCCTCACCAGCACCACTCACCCCTCACCACCCCTCACCACTCACCCCTCACCACCCCTCACCACTCAACCCTCACCAGCACCACTCACCCCTCACCAGCACCACTCACCCCTCACCACCCCTCACCACTCACCACTCACCCCTCACCACCCCTCACCACTCACCACTCACCCCTCACCACCCCTCACCACTCACCACTCACCCCTCACCACCCCTCACCACTCACCACTCACCCCTCACCAGCACCACTCACCCCTCACCACCCCTCACCACTCACCCCTCACCACCCCTCACCACTCACCACTCACCCCTCACCACCCCTCACCCCTCACCACCCCTCACCAGCACCACTCACCCCTCACCACTCACCACTCACCCCTCACCACCCCTCACCACTCACCACTCACCCCTCACCAGCACCACTCACCCCTCACCACCCCTCACCACTCACCCCTCACCAGCGCCACTCACCCCTCATCCCTCACCAGCACCACTCACCCCTCATCCCTCACCACTCACCAACTCACCAACTCACCCCTCACCAGCACCACTTACCCCTCACCACCCCTCACCACTCACCCCTCACCACTCACCAGCACCCCTCACCACCCCTCACCAGCGCTACTCACCAGCACCCCTCACCAGCACCACTCACCCCTCACCACTCACCACCCCTCACCCCTCACCACCACTCACCACTCACCCCTCACCAGCGCTACTCACCACTCACCCCTCACCACTCACCACCCCTCACCACTCACCCCTCACCAGCACCACTCACCCCTCACCAGCACCACTCACCCCTCACCCCTCACCAGCACTACTCACCACTCACCCCTCACCACTCACCAGCACCACTCACTCCTCACCAGCACCACTCACCCCTCACCCCTCACCACTCACCAGCACCACTCACCCCTCACCAGCACTACTCACCACTCACCCCTCGCCACTCACCACTCACCAGCACCCCTCACCACTCACCCCTCACCACTCACCCCTCACCACTCACCACTCACCCCTCGCCACTCACCACTCACCCCTCGCCACTCACCACTCACCCCTCACCACTCACCCCTCACCAGCACTACTCACCACTCACCCCTCGCCACTCACCACTCACCCCTCGCCACTCACCACTCACCCCTCACCACTCACCCCTCACCACTCACCCTTCGCCACTCACCACTCACCAGCACCCCTCACCACTCACCCCTCACCACTCACCCCTCACCACTCACCACTCACCCCTCGCCACTCACCACTCACCCCTCGCCACTCACCACTCACCCCTCACCACTCACCCCTCACCACTCACCCTTCGCCACTCACCACTCACCAGCACCCCTCACCACTCACCCCTCACCACTCACCCCTCACCACTCACCACTCCCCCCTCGCCACTCACCACTCACCCCTCGCCACTCACCACTCACCCCTCACCACTCACCCCTCGCCACTCACCACTCACCAGCACTACTCACCACTCACCCCTCACCACTCACCACTCACCCCTCACCCCTCACCAGCACCACTCACCCCTCACCACTCACCCCTCACCACTCACACCTCACCAATCACCACTCACCCCTCACCAGCACTACTCACCGCTCACCCCTCACCACTCACCCCTCGCCAGTCACCACTCACCAGCACTACTCACCCCTCACCCCTCACCACTCACCCCTCACCACTCACCCCTCACCCCTCGCCACTCACCAGCACTACTCACCACTCACCCCTCACCACTCACCAGCACCACTCACCCCTCGCCAGTCACCACTCACCAGCACTACTCACCCCTCACCCCTCACCCCTCACCAGCACCACTCACCCCTCACCACTCACCCCTCACCAGCACTACTCACCCCTCACCACTCACCACTCACCCCTCACCACTCACCCCTCGCCACTCACCACTCACCCCTCGCCACTCACCCCTCGCCACTCACCACTCACCAGCACCCTCACCACTCACCCCTCACCACTCACCCCTCACCACTCACCACTCGCCCCTCGCCACTCACCACTCACCCCTCACCCCTCACCCCTCACCACTCACCACTCACCCCTCACCACTCACCCCTCACCACTCACCACTCACCCCTCGCCACTCGCCACTCGCCACTCGCCCCTCGCCACTCACCACTCACCCCTCACCACTCACCACTCACCCCTCACCACTCTCCACTCACCCCTCACCACTCGCCACTCGCCACTCGCCCCTCGCCACTCGCCCCTCACCACTCACCACTCACCCCTCACCCCTCACCACTCGCCCCTCACCACTCGCCACTCGCCCCTCACCACTCACCACTCACCCCTCACCACTCACCCCTCACCACTCACCACTCACCCTCACCACTCGCCACTCGCCCCTCGCCACTCGCCACTCGCCCCTCACCCCTCGCCACTCGCCACTCACCACTCGCCCCTCACCCCTCGCCACTCGCCCCTCGCCACTCGCCACTCACCCCTCGCCAGTCACCACTCGCCCCTCGCCCCTCGCCCCTCGCCACTCGCCACTCGCCCCTCGCCACTCACCCCTCACCACTCACCACTCACCCCTCACCCCTCACCACTCACCCCTCACCACTCGCCACTCACCCCTCGCCACTCACCACTCACACCCTCACCACTCACCCCTCACCACTCACCACTCACCCCTCACCACTCACCACCTCGCCACTCACCACCTCACCACTCACCACTCATCGCTCACCACTCACCATCACCACTCACTGCTCACCAGTCACCACTCACCACTCACCACTCACCCTCACCACTCACCACTCACCCCTCACCACTCACCACTCACCCTCACCACTCACCCTCACCACTCACCACTCACCCCTCACCCTCACCACTCACCACTCACCACTCACCCCTCACCACTCACCCCTCACCACTCACCCACTCGCCACTCACCACTCACCCCTCACCACTCACCCCTCACCACTCACCCCTCGCCACTCACCACTCACCCCTCACCACTCACCCCTCGCCACTCACCACTCACCCCTCACCACTCACCCCTCACCACTCACCCCTCGCCACTCACCACTCACCCCTCACCACTCACCCCTCACCACTCACCCCCTCACCACTCACCACTCACCCCTCGCCACTCACCCCTCACCAGCACCACTCACCAGGACTACTCACCACTCACCCCTCACCACTCACCCCTCACCACTCACCCCTCACCACTCACCCCTCGCCACTCACCACTCACCCCTCACCACTCACCCCTCACCACTCACCCCTCACCACTCACCCCTCACCCCTCGCCACTCACCCCTCACCAGCACCACTCACCAGGACTACTCACCACTCACCCCTCACCACTCACCCCTCACCACTCACCCCTCACCACTCACCCCTCACCACTCACCCCTCGCCACTCACCACTCACCACTCACCACTCACCCCTCACCACTCACCACTCACCCCTCGCCACTCACCACTCACCCCTCACCAGCACCACTCACCAGGACTACTCACCACTCACCCCTCACCACTCACCCGAGTCGTCAGTGAGCCGTCGGCTCCGCCACTCGCACGGAGCGGGGGGTGGAGGCTTCGTCGGAGACGCCGCGAGACGTTGATGGGGAGGCAGGCGACGAATTCCCGGTTCTTTCGGTAAAGTCACGTAAAATAGAAAAATAAAAGAAAAATTATAAAACCAAAAAAATATTATAAAAATTTCATTTAATAATTTTTATTTTCTAATGCTTCGTTATTTTTTTGTTTTCTATCTACGTGACTTTACCGAAAGAAACAAGAATATGAATTCGTGCAGTCACGAAAGTTTAAAGTGAAAATTAAAGGAGGCAACGCTCTCTCGGTCGGGGCTCAAACGTGATCGGAGCGTCTTCCGCGTCCAGGCGTGCGACGCCGAAACGCGTTTTGGTCCCTCGCGACTCGCCGTACGCGTGACGTCACGAAAACACTCCACCCCCTCCCCTCCCCCCGTCTCTCGCTTAGCCCGTACCAAGATGGCGGGTGGAGTCGCGAGGCGGCCGCCATCTTCGTATGGGTAGCGAAGGAATCCGGTGAGCTGTAAAGCTCTTTTTGCACTGATGTCCAGTAAAGCAGGGGGGGGGGGGGTTATAACGCTACAACAAACAATACAAAAACATGAGTGCAAAGTATAGGAAAGGTAAACTTAAACAAATATTCTAGATTTGAAGCTTTCGTGACTGCAAGAATATATAAAAATTTCGATTTAAAGCTTTCGTGACTGCAGGGATTCATCTTCTTGGTTCTTTCGGTAAAGTCACGTAGAAGGGAAGTAATAAAATAATAAAAATAAAACATAAAAAATTTTCTTTATATAAAAATATTATTGGTTGTTTCGGTAAAGTCATCATCTGCTGGTGTTGCAGTCGAAACGTCGTGGGAATTTTATTATGTTTTATTTTTATTCTTTTATTATTTCCCTTCTACGTGACTTTACCGAAAGAACCAATAATATGAATCCCTGCAGTCACGAAAGCTTAACATAAAATGTATATACAAATAAACTACAGTTAAAAAAAAATCTGAATATATGAATACTGGAGGCATCGAATGAGCTATGAAGCTATGTTTCACACGAGTTGAATAGGGGCGGGTCAGAACGTTACAACAACAAACAATAAAAAATTAACCCGTAAAAACAAAGTTTTTTACTACAAATCCTTTATATGCGTGGCGGCTAGAGTCATCTCGTCCTCTGGCTTGAGATGGCTGCCACCTATGGGTCAGATGATTGCCTGCCACCAATAAGCAATTGGTAATTAAATATAATATTTTTGTCCTAGAAAGTGTAAAATTTTGCAACATTTTTTCACGAAAATAAATTGTCACGCACAACGAGTCTGTGTGCAAAATGTCAGCTCGATTGGATCACGGGAAGTGGGTTAAAAAACGAGCGAAAGATTTGCACGGTCGTAAGCGCGCAAGCAAGCAAGTGAACTTAATATAAAGGATTTTTTAAAACACGATGTGAGTGCAATGTCTAGGTAAGGTCAGCAGATACACAAATGCAACTAAACTATTCGTCTTAGCAGGTAAAGTCCACTGAGCTTTCACTTGTTATTTTTTTAGAAGCGACCTGACCAGCAAAGAAGCTTTGGGGCCGTCCATAAATGACGTCACGCACCTGGGGGGAGGGGTCAGACATTTGTGACGATGTGTGACGAGGGGGAGAGGGTGGGGTTTGAGAATTGTGACGTCACGTCAAAATTCGCAACTTTAAATCAATATAGACAACACATTCTACTTAATTAAATAGACTTTTTAATAAAAAAAATTATCCTACAACATCAGAGTGCAGCGTCACATTAAATACGCACTACAATGACAATAGTTTAAAGCGATTTGAAGCATGTTTAATTTGGGGGGGGGGGCAGAGCTTTGTGACGTCATATATGATGGGGGGGGGTCTGACTTTTTGTGACGCCCTGTGACGATGGGGGGGGGGGGGGTCAAAAATCGTACAAAATAGCGTGACGTCATTTATGGACGGCCCCTTATCATTTAGTGTACAGGGTGTTCCAGATGTCTTGTGACCCCCCAATTAATTGATCCGTAACATGTTTATTCGCTCCGCAACATTCATTTCTGTTTTAAATAAACCTTAAATGTTTATTTAAGTTTTTGAGAATTCAATGAGGGCCACGAGACATCTGGACCACCTTGTAGAGTTATACGCTACGCATGACTTACAGTTACATGATAATTATACGACGACCCAAGTTTTAGGATTTTTGACACAGCGTTGGTGTACGGTGCTTTTTCTGCAATGTTTTGCTGTCTTTTCTTGGATTTTCTGTTTGCACTTAGTCACATATTCACTTTAAGATGTTTTCTTGTTCATGTTTTTGTTTTTTGTTTGTTGCGGTTGCACCCGATTCAAGAGCCGGATGGCTCACAGGGCTACACCTAATGCATGAAACTTGAAAAAAACTTGAAAAAAAACTTGCGGGCTTGGCTTCCTGGCTCAAGAACGCGCAAATGCCGGCAATGACGTCACCGCGTGCGTAAGCGTCATCTTCGCGATGACGTCACCGCGTGTGTCAGCGTTACCTTGGCGATGACGTCATTTCGTCGCCCTCGCGCGCTCTCCTGCGCGATTACGTCACTCGCCTTCCACAGCGTCGAGCCGACTGCGTGCCCACGTGACTAACGAGAGGAGCGCTTAGTGAGGGAGGGAGAGAGGTGAGGGTGATGGTGAGTGGTGAGGGAGATGGTGAGTGGTGAGGGAGATGGTGAGTGGTGAGGGAGATGGGGTGAGGTGAGTGGTGAGGGAGATGGTGAGTGGTGAGGGAGATGGTGAGTGGTGAGGGTGATGGTGAGTGGTGAGGGTGATGGTGAGTGGTGAGGGAGATGGTGAGTGGTGAGGGAGATGGTGAGTGGTGAGGGAGATGGTGAGAGGTGAGGGAGAGTGGTGAGTGGTGAGGGAGATGGGGTGAGGTGAGTGGTGAGGGAGATGGTGAGAGGTGAGGGAGATGGTGAGTGGTGAGGGAGATGGTGAGAGGTGAGGGAGAGTGGTGAGTGGTGAGGGAGATGGTGAGTGGTGAGGGAGATGGGGTGAGGTGAGGGAGATGGTGAGTGGTGAGGGAGATGGTGAGAGGTGAGGGAGATGGTGAGAGGTGAGGGAGATGGTGAGTGGTGAGGGAGAGTGGTGAGTGGTGAGGGAGATGGTGAGAGGTGAGGGAGATGGTGAGTGGTGAGGGAGATGGGGTGAGGTGAGTGGTGAGGGAGATGGTGAGTGGTGAGGGAGATGGTGAGAGGTGAGTGGTGAGGGAGATGGTGAGTGGTGAGGGAGATGGTGAGTGGTGAGGGAGATGGGGTGAGGTGAGTGGTGAGGGAGATGGTGAGTGGTGAGGGAGATGGTGAGTGGTGAGGGAGATGGTGAGTGGTGAGGGAGATGGTGAGTGGTGAGGGAGATGGTGAGTGGTGAGGGAGATGGTGAGTGGTGAGGGAGATGGTGAGTGGTGAGGGAGATGGGGTGAGGTGAGTGGTGAGGGAGATGGTGAGTGGTGAGGGAGATGGTGAGTGGTGAGGGAGATGGGGTGAGGTGAGTGGTGAGGGAGATGGTGAGTGGTGAGGGAGATGGTGAGTGGTGAGGGTGATGGTGAGTGGTGAGGGTGATGGTGAGTGGTGAGGGAGATGGTGAGTGGTGAGGGAGATGGTGAGTGGTGAGGGAGATGGTGAGAGGTGAGGGAGAGTGGTGAGTGGTGAGGGAGATGGGGTGAGGTGAGTGGTGAGGGAGATGGTGAGAGGTGAGGGAGATGGTGAGTGGTGAGGGAGATGGTGAGAGGTGAGGGAGAGTGGTGAGTGGTGAGGGAGATGGTGAGTGGTGAGGGAGATGGGGTGAGGTGAGGGAGATGGTGAGTGGTGAGGGAGATGGTGAGAGGTGAGGGAGATGGTGAGAGGTGAGGGAGATGGTGAGTGGTGAGGGAGAGTGGTGAGTGGTGAGGGAGATGGTGAGAGGTGAGGGAGATGGTGAGTGGTGAGGGAGATGGGGTGAGGTGAGTGGTGAGGGAGATGGTGAGAGGTGAGGGAGATGGTGAGTGGTGAGGGAGATGGTGAGTGGTGAGGGAGATGGTGAGAGGTGAGGGAGAGTGGTGAGTGGTGAGGGAGATGGGGTGAGGTGAGTGGTGAGGGAGATGGTGAGAGGTGAGGGAGATGGTGAGTGGTGAGGGAGATGGTGAGTGGTGAGGGAGATGGTGAGTGGTGAGGGAGATGGTGAGAGGTGAGGGAGATGGTGAGTGGTGAGGGAGATGGGGTGAGGTGAGTGGTGAGGGAGATGGTGAGTGGTGAGGGAGATGGTGAGTGGTGAGGGAGATGGTGAGAGGTGAGTGGTGAGGGAGATGGTGAGTGGTGAGGGAGATGGTGAGTGGTGAGGGAGAGTGGTGAGTGGTGAGGGAGATGGGGTGAGGTGAGTGGTGAGGGAGATGGTGAGTGGTGAGGGATATGGTGAGTGGTGAGGGAGATGGTGAGTGGTGAGGGAGATGGTGAGTGGTGAGGGAGATGGTGAGTGGTGAGGGAGATGGTGAGAGGTGAGGGAGATGGTGAGTGGTGAGGGAGATGGTGAGTGGTGAGGGAGATGGTGAGTGGTGAGGGAGATGGTGAGTGGTGAGGGAGATGGTGAGTGGTGAGGGAGATGGTGAGAGGTGAGGGAGATGGTGAGTGGTGAGGGAGATGGTGAGTGGTGAGGGAGATGGTGAGTGGTGAGGGAGATGGTGAGAGGTGAGGGAGATGGGGTGAGGTGAGGGAGATGGTGAGAGGTGAGGGAGATGGTGAGTGGTGAGGGAGATGGTGAGAGGTGAGGGAGATGGGGTGAGGTGAGGGAGATGGTGAGAGGTGAGGGAGATGGTGAGTGGTGAGGGAGATGGTGAGAGGTGAGGGAGATGGGGTGAGGTGAGGGAGATGGTGAGAGGTGAGGGAGATGGTGAGTGGTGAGGGAGATGGTGAGAGGTGAGGGAGATGGGGTGAGGTGAGGGAGATGGTGAGTGGTGAGGGAGATGGTGAGTGGTGAGGGAGATGGTGAGAGGTGAGGGAGATGGGGTGAGGTGAGGGAGATGGTGAGAGGTGAGGGAGATGGTGAGAGGTGAGGGAGATGGTGAGAGGTGAGGGAGATGGTGAGAGGTTAGGGAGATGGTGAGAGGTTAGGGAGATGGTGAGTGGTGAGGGAGATGGTGAGTGGTGAGGGAGATGGTGAGAGGTGAGTGGTGAGGGAGATGGTGAGAGGTTAGGGAGATGGTGAGTGGTGAGGGAGATGGTGAGTGGTGAGGGAGATGGTGAGTGGTGAGGGAGATGGTGAGAGGTTAGGGAGATGGGGTGTGGTGAGTGGTGAGGGAGATGGTGAGAGGTGAGTGGTGAGGGAGATGGTGAGTGGTGAGGGTGATGGTGAGTGGTGAGGGAGATGGTGAGTGGTGAGGGAGATGGTGAGTGGTGAGTGGTGAGGGAGATGGTGAGTGGTGAGGGAGATGGTGAGTGGTGAGGGAGATGGTGAGAGGTGAGGGAGATGGGGTGTGGTGAGTGGTGAGGGAGATGGTGAGTGGTGAGGGAGATGGTGAGAGGTGAGGGAGATGGTGAGTGGTGAGGGAGATGGTGAGAGGTGAGGGAGATGGGGTGTGGTGAGTGGTGAGGGAGATGGGGTGAGGAGTGAATTGGTGGGTATAACAATGGGGGGGGGGGGGGTCACCAGCCCCTCGCACCACCACGCCCCCCGTCAGCCCCCCCCCCCCCCCCCTGGCAACCGTTAGCGGTTGCCAGGGCAACGAAGGCAACAGCTGATTAGCCTCAACTCCACGTGGCAGTAGCAGAGTTAGGGGCCGTCCATAAATGACGTCACGCACATAGGGGGGGGGGGTTGAGAAATGTGACGTCACATAGAAATGCGCCGTGTGACGATGGGGGGGGGGGTCAAAAATCGTCCAAAATCGCGTGACGTCATTTATGGACGGCCCCTAAAATCGCGTGACGTCATTTATGGACGGCCCCTAAAATCGCGTGACGTCATTTATGGACAAAAAATCGCGTGACGTCATTTATAGACAAAAAGTCATCCCCCCTCAAATATGACGTCACAAAGTTCTGCCCCCCCCCCCAAAAAAAATAAAACATGCTTCAAATCGCTTTAAACTATTGTCATTGTAGTGCGTATTTAATGTGGCGCTGCACTCTGATGTTGTAGGAGAAAACATTTATTAGAAAGTCTATTTAATTAAGTAGAACGTGTTGTCTATATTTATTTAAAGTTGCGCATTTTGATGTGACGTCACATTTCTCAAACCCCCCCTCTCTCGTCACACATCGTCACAAATGTCTGACCCCCCCCCCCCAGGTGCGTGACGTCATTTATGGACGGCCCCTTACTACCTGGCATCAATGGCCACAATCGCCCCGCTGTAGCTTGTCTTGAATGTGCTATCTCTGTGTGTCTCTGTGGCTCTCTTAAACGCATCCGTGTGTTTACTCTGTGGTCCATAGGTTACATTACATGGTCATTAATCACGCTTTTGTGGCGTATCTTTAATGCACTATATATCCATCTTCATGGGTCTTAATGTATCTCTATGAGTCTCCGTGTGTCCCTACGTATATCTTCTTGCGTATGCCAGCAACATCTTCAGGAGCTCAATGCCGATGTCGAGGTCTGCTATCCGCGACCAGAGAGAGCTTCAGCAGAGAGAGATTTCGTGTCGTGAGGAGCGCAAACCACAGCGGGTTTACTCCGTGTTCCACGTGGCTGAGTGTACCAACTGATACACTCAACCACAGCGGCCCATAGGCTCACATAATATATATCCTGAGATACACAGAGACCCAAACTCAAAAGACCCGTTAACCCACACAAACCGCAGAGACTCACGCAGAGACCCCAATATACCTGCAAAGAGACCCATATCCCGAGAGACCTCACATAGAGACCCGCAGTTTCATACAGAGATCCATAAGCTCAGAGATTCATAAGAGTGTAGCAACGAATGCCAAAACTCATTGCGTATTGCAGACGCCAGCGAGTTTAGTAATGCTGCTGCTGCTGGTGATGATGATGATGATCGTGAAACTCCTGCGGATGATCATGCTGCTGATGATGATCGTGAAACTCCTGCGGACGATCATGCTGCTGCTGCTGATGATCGTGAAACTCCTGCGGATGATCCTTTTGCTGCTGCTGCTGATGATCGCGAAACTCCTGCGGATGATCATGCTGTTGCTGATGATGATCGTGAAACTCCTGCGGATGATCCTTTTGCTGCTGCTGCTGATGATCGTGAAACTCCTGCGGATGATCATGCTGTTGCTGCTGATGATGATCGTGAAACTCCTGCGGATGATCATGCTGCTGCTGCTGATGATGATCGTGAAACTCCTGCGGATGATCATGCTGCTGCTGCTGCTGATGATCATGAAACTCCTGCGGATGATCATGCTGCTGCTGCTGATGATCGTGAAACTCCTGCGGATGATCATGCTGTTGCTGCTGATGATGATCGTGAAACTCCTGCGGATGATCACGCTGCTGCTGCTGATGATGATCGTGAAACTCCTGCGGATGATCATGCTGCTGCTGATGATGATCGTGAAACTCCTGCGGATGATCATGCTGCTGCTGCTGATGATCGCGAAACTCCTGCGGATGATCATGCTGTTGCTGCTGATGATGATCGTGAAACTCCTGCGGATGATCATGCTGCTGCTGATGATGATCGTGAAACTCCTGCGGATGATCATGCTGCTGCTGA